TTTTCTGAGATCAGCAAGATACCTTGCAGTTCTTGCAGCTGCCACTGTTACCTAAGTAACTGCAGCTGATGCATTCATTCTTGTACTACGACTTCTTTCACCAGCTAAGTATAGTTTCTACATAAAAAGAAATGCTTGTAGATAGAAATAGTGCAGTGACTCATAAAAAACAGGGTATTGCAATCTTGTCAACAAAACTTCCATTGAGGTTTATGTTCCTCATCTGAATCTACACCAAAGTTAAACTGAACACACAAATTCCAGGGATTAATATGGAATTCACCACTGTTCCATCTCTATCATTAGTTCATCCACTTTTCTTTGATAGTACCAAATTCCCAGTCCCCAGTATAATATAATAATGGTGATGATGATGATGATAATTCTATCCAAGGTGGTGAAGAAATAATTACTTTAATTCAGTTTCCTAGAAAGGCAGGTAGTGCCTTTCTAGCCCATTGCATAAACATAGAGTAATTAAAAATTGTGATTATTAGAAGAGAAACAAATACATGTATGAGAGACTGATGGTCAGGTTACTCTTTTGATTATCTTCCATAAAGTTGTTTCTAAGCAGACTTTAAAGAGATCCAAAAGCAGACACATATAAATAGTGAAAACAATGGCCATAATCAAAACCCCAAAGAACTGATCTGTAGGTCCCCTTCTCTTCTAGCTCCCTCAGTGCAAGCGACACAGCATACTGTTATTTCGTTAATTCTATGATATTTTCTCCCTTATTTCATTTATTCTTTTATAGCTGTTGATATTGAAACTGATGTTTGAAAAAGCTAGAGAGTTGATTAATAGGTATTTTATATGTCTGGTATCTACTCATAAAAGACGGGTAAACTTATTTCAATTATCATACCACCAACAAGGATGCAATCTGTTCAAAATGGCTGTTTACGAATGGCTGCTTTGGGTAATGGTTGTTTTCTTTGTGTGGGAAATGAAATATCATATTATTAAACAGAGATATTCAGAATGGTGTGTCAACTTATCCATCTTTCTGATGTTTATAGGTTTAATTTTTTATAATGTTTATTTTATTTTATGGGTCCAAATGTTAAAGTATCACTTATTTGGAAGGATCCAATTTCTTTTATTTTTGTTTTAATGACCCTGAATATTAACATCCATGATTTCATGTGCAATCAGTGAAAAAAAAAAAAAAAAAAAAAAAAAAAAAAGTGGTAGGTGCTCTATTAATTCTGTTTTGTTTTGTTTTTAGGTGAACTATCCAAGCATTTACACATATGACTAAGGCTGTCTTATTTGCTAGTTTTGTTTTAACAATTTACACAAATTGTTGCTTGATAAACTCAAAATTCCTTATGTGTAAGAAATAAAGAGGTGCAAATGTAAGACAGAATGGGTGAAAGGGAATATATGAATGTGGTAAAGATTTTACACAAAAGATAATTACAAAGTATGTTAGATATATAAAATAGTGGCAGAAAGCACTACAATACAAATTATTCCTCCCAGAATTTATTAAAGAACAACTTTTTACTTTTGGAAACAGGAACCATTGCACAATATTTTTACCAGTTTCACTAAATAATAGTTTGTAGGCTAAATATATCAGAACAGATTGATAAATCATTTATACTTTGTTGTGTCTCAGATACTCAGGTATTTAAGCCTATAATAAACAGATTTGACTTTCTATTCAAACAAGTTTGAGGAATACGAGAGAAAAGCGTATTTCTTCAAATCATAAAAGGGTATTGAAATATGAAGTTTTATAAAAATTGTTAACAGCAATAAAAAATAAAGTTTTTCACAGATGATAATTCATAAGGAAGACGGTTTCTAATTGGGATATCCCTAATATCCCAATGAGTGAAAATTTCTTGCTGCCTCTATAAAACTATAAAACTATATAACTATTAAACATATAGACCATAGAACTGCTAAGCAAACTAGTTTGAATTTGCAAACTATTAATAGGGAGTGTCTTCCTTCAGATCCAGAAGGCTTGAGAATTTTGAAGAGTTTGAAGAGGTTGGTGTGAAAGTCTACCCCTGTGTATTTTCACCAGCTTAGTGTGCCAAACTTGCTTACTACTCCTGTTTTCTGCTCTCTTATAACAGCTACCAGTTTTTACCAGCACTGTGGAGCGGCTGCAGCTTTTCATAGTAAATATGGTTGTAGTTCGTCAGGTTGTAGTTCTTTATGGTTGTAGTTCTTCAGATACCATCTCATTCCCTCTCACATAGCTGTTCCTGCATTACTTGGTTCTTGTTATGCTTCGGCTTTTCACCAACAGTTTTCACCAACAGAGCAATATATCAAAGTTTTTCGTGAGCAACAGTAATTCTGGTTACCTAAGATTAAATAGTCTGAGGGATTTTTTTTTTTTATTTTTTTTTTTTAAGCACTGAAATCTCTATATCTAAAATTAGGCCAGTGTCTGAATGTCCCATGTCACTTTGAATTCTGCCTTTGAAAACCTTATTTTTAGTTCCAGTCCTGCAAATTTCTCCTTGTAGTTCTAATGTGGAAGTATTAGGAAGCCCTACTGACTTCACTAATGATTTCTTGAACTCCAATGACTTCAGGTACAAAGGCTACATAAAATGTTATATCTTTTCCTCTTGGATAAGGCTAAATAATTTTGGTTTTGGTTTCTGATATGAAATTAATGAGAATTTTAGTCTACACTACATAGACAAACATGCTGGAAGGGCAATGAAAGGAGGTAAATAGGACAATTTAAATACAAGCAGAGAATTGGATTCATTAAATTTATTGGGTGAAACAATTTAATGAAGAAAAATACTAATTAAATTATTAAAATCTAGATTGCAAGTAGTAATTAAAAAGACAGTTGCTATGCAACCAGAAGGTTTTTTTTTTTTTTTTTTTTTTTTTTTTTTTTTTTTGTGACAGAGTGCAAAAATATATCTGTTAAGTATGTTGGTATTTTGCTTTGACCTTTTTCAGTCACACACCTGCCCAGACTATCTGCAAATGCATCTTTTAGAATGATGACATAAAAAATATCTTCAGGATTAATAAAGAAATACAGTCTATTTGATTCAGTTAATGACTTTTTTTGTGTTCAAAAGCTTAAAAGTAAGGAATTTATGACATAAAAATAAATACATATATATAATTATGTATATGTATATGTTTTTTATGTTAATGTTTCATCATCTCAAAAGGATTAACTTCTATCCCAAATACAGGGCCTGATCCTATAAAACGTAGGAACATTAATTTTCATAACGTAGTGTATGAGATAGCCCTTCTCCATCCTGAAACAACAGTTAAATCCAATACTTTTATCAGAAACATAAGCAGCTGTTATTCATAATGACGAGGGGCAATTTGTAATTGTCCTGGAAAAATGGGGGACAAATTTTCTTATTTTGGAATACCTACACTAAGATGCAGCTTGATTTCTGTTAGAATTTCTATTTTTACACATAAAGGTCTCTGATGCGATTATCTTATATAAAGTCAAGAGGGGACCAATGTACATATAAACAGTGTCTGAGAAATAATTTTATGTCAGTTGGAGAATTTCAAAATGTCTTGGTCCACTGTGCAATGCAAATGGGAAGAAGATGTGCCTAGAGAAGTTGCAGATGCCCCACCCCTGGAAGTGCTCAAGGTGGATGAAGCTTTGAGCAACATGTTCTAGTGGAAGGTGTCCATGCCCATGATCACTGAAGTTTCTTCCAACCAAAACCATTCTATGATTTTATGATCTGGTTTGCTGAATCTTAAACTTTGCATCTTGTGGTAAGGCACAATATATCACAAGCTGGTATTTATCTGCTGTGAGACAGTTCTGCCTGTGTCCTTCATTTCTCAGGGCTGATTACCGCCCATATGATCACCTTGAACTCTGCTTTAATTCCCATTAGTCCTGCATTTAAATCACTAATACCATGGAAATGACAAGAAACCTGATGTGGATATAATCAATCAGCTTCAGACCAATGTTAGATCACCACCACCATCCTATGCCCAGGAGCAAAGGACTTGTTGTCTATTAAACCCCAGTTTCTGCACTGTTTCTTGTTTCCTGTTTGTACTTTGAATTTCCAGTAAGAGAGGGGAGAAAAAATGATTCACTTGGGAATGTATACTTAGTGACCTGAAAAATTCTGTCCTGTTTAGCCAAAATGGAAGTTTTTCAGATATGCAGTCCTATAGAATTTTTCTTCCTATTTCTTATGACTATTGCAGAAGGTAATTTAGACTGTACTATCCTACAAAGACATAAACACATCCTGACAACATGAAGTTCTACAGCTAAAGTTAAATATTGTGAATATTTTCTACTGTTATATTAAATGAGTAATTATTGATAGAGTAAGATTACTGTAATACAGCACTCCAAAATTATTGTCATAATATTGAAATTAAAAAATAACTTTTGAAAGGATATGTTAAAAAAGCTAATCTTTTTCTCCAGAAAACGTAACTGAAACAATTATGATTCTCAACACTACAATATAAATGTTAATGAGTGGAAATAAGGTATAAGTACAACACAAAATGCTAATTATAATTTGTGTAACCTTATAAACCCTGTTTTGTTGCAAATCCATCTAGATAAGACAGATTCAATACTAACATTAGTATACAGTACCTTCTTTCTACTTTGGCTTGAAGAAAACTGTAGAGGTCTGCAAGTATAAATGACTGTTTTCTACTGCCTAGTGAAGCTATGTTTCCTTAAAATCTTTGTGTTTTCTTTGGACCCAGATCATACTCAAGTACAACATACAGGCAAATTCAGCCTTGAAAGATACTTGTAATATGATGTTATACTTCAGAATTATTTGTAAACTAAGAAACATTGTTGATTTTACATTAGCATTTTATCCATCAAACAATCTGCTGACAAAAACAGAGTGTAAACTTTCACTGTAACCACATGACTACCAGACACAAATCATAAGAAGAATCACAGTAACAATCTTAAATATGCTACTTAATGGGGTATGCTACTTAAATCAATAAAATCAGTTTCCTACCTCAACTGTGAATTCCAACTCCTGTTAAAATAAAGAGAAAGAAAAGGATTTTCTCAGAAGAAAGCAGAGAGGAAGAATTTGTTTAGCAAATACTTCACAGAAAACAAAGTGGTTACGTTGATAGCAAGGAAAATTTCATCAACTAAAAAGTTTCCTTATATCAAGACAATAAATTAAATCCTTTTTTTTTTTTTTTTTTTTTTCCTTTCTGTATTTTCTTTCTCAATCTTAAAAAGTTTTAATAATTTATTTAAAAATTCCTGATAACAACAGGACATACAAATTGAGGTGTATATATATATATATTTCCTATATACAAAGGAAAAGGGAAATAATGAATAGAAAATAATCAAATGTGAAACCGGATTTGCAGTTCAAAAAATAAATGGGGAAAAAAAATACATAACAGTTTTAGCCTAAACATACTTCTAACCTACTACATGCCTTCAGATTTATTCATATCTTGGAATAAAGATCAGGAAAGAGAAAATGTAAAATAAAAAAAATTAATAAATATGTGTGGAGGTGAAATATAATGTACTACAAGCTGCAAACGATTTAATGGGATTTTCAGAAGGATTTAAATTTGGTTACCTACTTAAATTTCCTGGCCTATTTAGCACATAAAATATTATTGCCATAAAATGCTTCTTCTCTCATGTTTAGCTACTTCTTAATGAAGTCATAAAGAATTCCTAATGAGGAATGAGGAAAAGTTGTAAAGCAAGCACAAGTCTTGGGCAGAACAAAATATGGTTATACAAATTATCATTTAAATCTCCCCATTTGGATGTCGTTGGACTCTAACAAATATCAGGACACCAAAATCTAATTTCATCTTTAAAACCTCAAACTTATTTTGACAACTTTGGCATGTATTCCTGGGATTTTAGTTTTGTAGAGGCTAAAAGTATTTATTTAACTCTTTTTGTTTGTAATATTTATTTTCAGATCAGAAAACTAGCAACTGGAATGCTTGGTTTAACACATTTTATGGGGGATTTAGAATATATATAAAATAATAATATTAATTAAAAAAAAAAGACAAATTTGCTATAGATTACTTCAGGTGTTATTAAATGACTGGATAGAACCTCTACACAGCAAAATATCAAAAAGCAACACCACTACACATGTAATCTTGTAACTGTAAATGTAAACAATTATTTCTATTTACTTAATTTTCTTGTGAAGCAACAGCTTATACTTGACAACTTCAAATCCAATTTTTGGACTGTAGTTTGCAACAAATTATTATAATTTTATTTTCTGTAAGACAGTGTCCTGCAAATATAGTGTGCAGAAGGCTCAGACTTCTGCAGAAAAACACTTCATATTAACATTTAAATAAAATAGGTGAAGATTGCCATCTTTCCTGTTAACATCTCTGCAGGAGACCAATAAAAACCCTCTTCCTTTGTATGATTCACTGATTCAATTTAAGTTGAGGTGTAACAATGTCAGAAAAAAATCATCAAAAAATCAAGAAAAGGAGCAGGTTTGTGGAATTATAATTTCATATTATTGATGGAACCTCCGCTAATCTTCTCATCTTTAAAGCTTAATCTTGTCACTTCTATTCAAATTATTGTTTAGACTCAATGTTATTTTTCCCCACCTAATAACATCTTTATTTTACTGAGTGTTTGGGATTTTATACGTTTATTTTATTTTATTTTATTTTATTTTATTTTATTTTATTTTATTTTATTTTATTTTATTTTATTTTATTTTATTTTATTTTATTTTATTTTATTTTATTTTATTTTATTTTATTTTATTTTATTTTTCCTGAAATGCATTCTATATTCTTTAAAAAACCCTTTTCATAAGGCTGAGAAGGTGTCTGAATATCTAGGCAAATAAGTGATGCAAAACCCTGCAGACTTTACTAATCTTTTACCAACTTTTTTGCTGTGCAATTCTATTTTTGTTTCAAATTATAATTGTAGGATTTATAGTTATTTCTGTTTACAGTTGATAGGATTTAGGAGTTTGTTTGTTTGTTTGTTTGTTTTTTAACTTTGAAATGTGTCAGCTCATTATTTCATTTATTTTATTTTATTTTACTTTAGATATCCATATCCATTGATGTCAGTATTTCAGTGAGTTTTGCAAAATTTGTTATTGGTGGAACATTGTACATGCATTAGGTAGATCACAATTTATGACAAATCTGGATCATAATACAACACTGTTAGAAACAATTTAGGAGAAATTGCCACCAAACAAAGAATGAGATCATCTTATCATCTTTTTAAGATAGCATCCTGTATTAAAGATTTTAAAAATAAATAAAATAAAAAATACTAAGGTCAATAGTACAGTGCTTGATGGAAAGGTAGGGTGATCTATAGTGAAGAAGTTTTTTACAGAGAGATCAGTGACACTTAAAAGATTTGTAGTTCAGTTGTACAAAAACCTTGGTTTTATGCCAGCCACAGTAGGAATGTAAAATTATTATCTATGTATTGCTACATGTAAGAAATTATAAATTGAAAAAAATATTAAGTAGACCAACGCCACATTTATTTATTTATTTATTTATCTTCCTGTGATGAAAACATATCAGAGTATCGTGAGTGAAAAAACTCTTCTGAACAACTCAGGATTCTTCTCTCCTTCCTTTTTCACTCCAGCACGTAATTTAATCTTGATTTAGCCTAAGACAGGCTCTTTATTTTTTTTATTTATTTCACAGACGACCATTCTTCAGGCTTAGTCAGATCAGCCAGAAAACCTCAGGTGAAAAGCTGAAGAAAGCAAGTTTAATCTCAAGTGAATGTTTATTTCTTTATATTTCTCTTGCATAGGGTAGAGTGACTATCTCTTCTCATATGTTGTGCCATTATTACGGATTGTCACAGAACTTTTATTCTGGTTCATTAAGTTACTGAAGTAGCTTCAGAAGAAAACTTGCCTTTAAGGAACAATTTTAATACTTTATTTGCTCTGTTATTGGAATATGGACCATCAGAGCTTTATAGTCTATGGGATTAGATTAAGATTTGGGTAATTAGCATTTTTTAAAGATTAAAAATACATACGGCTTTAAGTTTTCTAGATTGTGAGGCCTTGAATGATCTGATCTTTGCTGCCTACTTTCAGTTCAATACTTGCTGTTTTTGTGATCTAATCTGCTCTGCTTAATGGAGTATTTTGTACTCCATTTGTAAATGTAAATGTAAATTAGTAAATATGTAAAAGATAAGTAAATATTTGTTAATTTTTGATTCACTAAGGAGCCATAAAAACTTTTGGGCTACTGTTTCTGCACCACCATCATGTGCTTATATTTAAATCTGTGTTTACGGTATCAGTTTGCTTTCATGACTTTATGTAACCATGTTCCTGTTCTCGTGACTTCATCATCACAATTCCAGTGAAATTTTGGTAAGAGGATGTTTTTAGCCATACTAACTCTACATAGGAAATACGTTCCTTGAGATAATATTTTATTAACTCTGTTGTGACTTCTCTTTACATACAGAGAAACAATCAAGAGACTCTTCTGTTACTAAACTCATTCTTTTCTATTACCCAACTCATCCTCTTCATGCAAGGAGAGAAATCAGTATGGTAATGTAGCGAGTTCAAATCAAACTTTTTTTATTTTTATTTTTATTTTTAATTTGGATGGGAAGCATTAAGGAGGTAATGGAATACGTGGAATCTCTCAATACATTGAGAGATTCTAGAATATAGTATTAGAAATATATTATTAGAAACATTTTAGAATGTAGTATTAGAAATATAAATATACATACATAAATTGCATAGACATATGTAAAACATATGCATATATGTTTTAAATTGTATGTAAGAACATAAAACTTGTCCTGCAACAGGCCCTCTTAGTCACACATCCTGACAGAAGAAATAAAACAACAGATGGCAGATGTTAATATATCAGCTTAATGGTTATGGTTATATGGTTATACACTAGGTGAACTGTATTATTTTATTCAAGTTTCTTTGAAGTAACTGATAGTCAGCCTTACTTCAGCCTACTAGTTATCATTCTACTTTTTTCTACAGAAAATATTGTTGGCCACAATTCCAACTGTCTTGGCTAGTAATACTGACTTCATGGGACTTATATAAATATTTTTTGAGCTTAATTCTTTTTCATTACAACACAAACTGCAATAAAATTACTGGCAATTTGGAACTCTAAACAAAGCAATGCTTCTTTAGAATAAAATAATGTTTTTTCCCTACTACACCCTGAAAAAAAAGTAATTATTTTACAACTTATATCTAATTGTTACTTCTTCATTACATTTTAAATACAAACTTAAACACTGTTCACATTAGTAAATAAGGTTGAAAATCAAAAAATATTGTTGAGAAGTTTAAAATAATGAATGAAGAAAACTCCAAGTGAAGTTTTTCCACTGGAGTTAATCCACTGAAAATTAATAATCTCTCCTTGCTTTTTATTTTTCATTTTCTTTTTCCTTCTTTTACTTTTTTTTTTCTTCTTTCTTTCTTTCTTTCCTTTTTTTTTCCTCTTTTTTTTTTTTTTTTTTTTTTTTTTGTGCTTTATTAGTTTACTTTTTATAACCAACTATAAAAGTTAGTGGAGAGGTTCATTTTTGCTAATATTTGACTAAGTATAAATTCTTGTGTAATCTGACCTATTTGTTATAAAGATAGCTTCTATAATCAGTGACTAAAAATAAGGAAATAGGATCCTAATGTTTTTGTAGTATCAACCGACTTTTAATAATTAAAATATAAATACATAACATATATTTATATATATTAGTAAATAATATATTTATATATCAACATATTAACAAATAGTATATACTCATTATACAAAATATATTTCATATTAACATATGTAAATATATTAATATTTATAAATAACAACATATATTTATGAATACATAAATATATGTTTATATGAATATATAAATAGTTTCTAAGTTTGGATAACTGCCAGAATTACAATATGTAGGTCATTACCTTTTTAAAAGATTATTATCCTCTAACTTATGTTAAAGCTGGAGACA